GTACTGCAGACTGAATGGAAAAGAAGCAGATCAAATTAAACACAGTAACTTAGAGGGATTATAATATGTATTTATGTCTTTTGATGTGTCCTTTTAACTTTTTAGGTAAGAACGTGAAGAAGAGGAAATGCGAGGTCACCTACGGGTACGCTCCTCAGAATGAAGACGAGCTGGAACTTGTTGTTGGCGAGACGATAGACATCGTTAAAGAGGTATGGAGGTCTTATCACTCTTATCACAACGTAGCGATCCCATCTGAACTCATAATTTTTACCTAATTTCCCTCTGGGATCAATAAAGTATTTTTGAATTGAATTGAATTGAATTGAATAACTTTGGTTGACCTGCAAATAAACTGCTGCAGTCAGTCCGTCAGTGGTGTCGGAGAACTAGTTTTGGAGATGGGTAACTAAATCTTTTCTGTTTAGTTCCTCACAGAAACTGGCATCACCCAGCCAGTTCCCAACCCTGAGCATTATATTTTAATTAGGGCATTGTGGAACATACGTCATTAGTTTTTATGTGTTGACTAATTTTATGTTGAAGCGGTTTTCTCAAAGTGCAGCRTTACTATATTTGTAACTGTATGAATATGAAGTCAAACCTGTTCCTGACATGTTTTTTAACATGACAGATAGAAGATGGATGGTGGATGGGCATGAGAAATGGCAAACTTGGGGCATTCCCATCCAATTTTGTCAAAGAAATCTTTGTAACTCCGAAAGGTTGGTGGCTAAGTAATTATGTTAAAGCAATCACTTCTTTTTTAACAAAAAAGCTGACTTTAATCATTATTTTTCTAACAGAGGGAAGGTACGGCGAGGGGAAGACAAGGCCCAAACTAACTGATGCTGTGTTTACTAAGGAGGTATGTCCTGCAGAAATAAGATTATCAGACTTTTAAAACTGTTTTTTTTTTCTGTTCATAATTTTCCTGTTTTCTCTCATAAATAAATTTCAGAGAGCAACTGTGAGAAACAAAGCAAAAACCTGTAAGTTCTCCTCCTTTAAATCTCATCACAAGCTTAAACTGATGACACATTTTATTTTTAGGAAAAGTACCAGAAAACATTTAGTCAGACCTATTTATAGTCCGATGCTAAACATGTGACAGGTGCTAATTCTCAGGCTTTGACCTGAATGGCCTAGGTGTGGTAAGAGGTAAACGCTGGTCAGAATGTCCTGATTAATCACTCTACATGATGATTGCAACGAGTGAAAATCCCTTTAAGATTGAAAGTTTATAACTTTTATCTTCAACTAATCACAGTCTTTTCCCATCTGTTATCATCTGAGTGAATTAGTCATGACTGTTCAAACTTCCGATTCCAGTCAGATGCTACATAAAAAGGTCAGTTTCTGTAAAGTCTGTAATTACGTCATCTCTTCTGTCCTCAGCTATGGAATGTTGCCAAGTCATGTTTGACTATAAAGCCAAAGCAGAAGACGAGTTGGAGCTGAAAAAAGGAGATGTTGTAGTGATACTGAACAAGGTCTGAAGTCCTCTTTGTTTTTCCGGTTTTATTTCCTCTCACAGTTTTATGGTCACACACTGAAACCTTGACAGTTGGGTATTTCCTTACGGTAGCTGCCTGGTAGTGCAGCTCGTTCAACTGGACAAACCGGATGTTTTCCTTTCAAGGAAACCCCGTCCTTCAGTCAGCAAAAAGACAACGGGCTATTTTTAGGCGCTTTTTACATAAAGCTATCTTTTACACGTCTGTAGGTATGATCAAATAAACAAAGAAACAAAAAAATATTGCTTTTGGATTAAGATCGTCTTAAAGAAATGAGTTATAGCCATTTAGATAAAACTGTCAAAAAATTATCAGCTAGTTGAGATCCAGTGATTACTTTCTGAAAGTTTCATTAAAATATTCCAGTGGTTTAGGAGGTATTTTGCTAACAGACAGGCGTGTGTTAGCCCTCTTAGGTAATGGCAAAGTTTTAAAACCAAATGTCACATCATCAGATAGAGCTCAGGTGGGGATGACTCTCAGCTATTACCGTACCAAACTTAAGCTCCGTAGCCATAAAAAGGCAATTTTTATTTTTTGCATGGTTGGACCGCTCTTGAAACTGGATGAGGGTGGGGTGCGAAGTGGCTCATTTGCATTTAAAGAGACAGCGTCAAAACAAGTTGAGCTGAGACACATCCCAGAAAAGAGGTGAAAGAGGGGCTTGTAGAGTTGCAATAAGGAGGAATTCAGACCAAAGAATTGTGGTTCCACTTTATATAGACTCCAACTGAAGGATTTAAATGCGAAAAAGAAGGATTTAAAAACAGTATATGTCTACTTTAAATCTGCCCACTGTTTTGAGATGGTTTGCTAATGCTACAGACAAATGAACACACACGCCCGGTCCAGTACAACTATCTTTATGGGGAGATTGCATTGACCTCCATTCATTTTATAACCTAACCTAACACTGACCCCTTACCCTAACCTCACAGGTACATTCCTGACCCTAAATCTAACTGAAGCCCCAACCCACCAACAGCATCCTCCCCTCCCCCATGGGGACTAGGCTTAGGTTCCCATAAGTACCAGTTGGTCCCTAAAAGTAGGTGTGTATGCCAAAAATGGTCCCCAGGAATATCAGCTGATGCACACACTCATACATACTGTGTATTGTTTAGTTTTTAAAGGTGGGAAATAGTTCATAATTCTGTAAAGGGGATAGCAGTTTTGTTTAGGCAACGTGAAGTTTAATGCATTCTTCAAAAGGAAACCAATTTACTAAAAATAAATACTACAAATCTAACAGCACAAATTAATGAGATGCAGAAAAACCAACAGGAAGAATAAGCCACGCTTTATATACCTCAGACGTACAGGAAATTTGCTCAAACAAGATTTTTTTTCCGTCAACCTTCTGTTCAGTGTTTTCATGTCCCAGAGGACAGAGTCATGTCTGAGCCTCTAAYGTGATGCTTTAATCTCCATGTGAAGGAAACAGAAGATGAAGGCTGGTGGGAGGGAGAGCTGAACGGGCGCCGCGGCTTCTTCCCCGACAACTTTGTGATGATTCTACCACCAAGGGACAACAAGCAAGTGAGTCGACAGAAACCGTTTCAAACTAAAAACTGCTGGATCGGATCTTGTTTCACCTGTCCAGGAGGACTTTGAACACTTTGCTGCACTGCCATGAAATCTTGGGCATGCTTCATTGTAAACACAGTTTATACTTTTTTTTTTATGTAAAAATGGTCTCAAAATGAAAAAGCACCTGCTTATTGTCAGCTAGGTTATGTTACTTCAGTATTTGTGCGGCCTGGACTCCGTTATGACTCAGGCCTTGTTTAGACATCTTCTGTTTTTGAGTTACTCACTAAAAAATTCCCACTGTGGAAAGATTGTGTAGAATAGTTCGTCTTTAACTGCACCCTGTTGAAGTTACTGTTTCTCCTCTTTTAGTCTAGAAACACGAGCCAACCACCAGCCCGCAACGCCACTATTAAAGTCCCAGGTAAGAAAAAAAAAGTTTYTGATTTTAACAAAACAGAGCTGAACAGCAGCCAGAGATGTTAAAGTAAAAAGAGGAGCTGTAATGTTAGGAAGAAATTTTAACTGTACAGTAAAGTGGATAAAAGATTTAAACAACTAATGAAATAACCTTCAAAYATGCAGGATTAAATGTGCAACTTTAGGATTTTGTAATAAAGATTTCAATATAAATTTTACAATGAAAGTCCTTCTATAAGGGTTGGGGGAGTTGGCAGGGAAACACACTCCTTTTAGATTCAACATGACATAAAATAATGCTCCATCAGCTGCAGTATCTGTAGCAGCTGTAGTGGGTTCAGAAATAGATGTCATGACATGTTTTTATCTATTGAAAATGCAAAAGAGGATGGGCAGGCAGACGATCCCTGCCCTACAGCACTGAATCCACGCACTGAACCAGTTCAAACATTAAAAGAATTCTCCCTATTTGAAATGTAGAGGGGGAAGAAACACATTATTAATTTAATCCAATGTTACTCTGATGTWTTGTGTTTACTTTCACATGTAAACACAATACATCGGTGTAAAATTAGTTCCACATTTTGAAAGATTTTAAAGATTTTAAAAAAGATGTTATCCATCTTTTTGGCTTTCAAACAAAACCAAAATAAGCAGCAAATCCTCGAAAAATCCGTGATCATAAAAATCTCTGCTGAATTATTAGCTTAACGGATGTACCACATAATTAAACATGTGCCAGGTCATAAAGCTGTTACTTTAAAGACAAACCTAATGACATTCCAGTTTCCACTTTTTGTTCTAATTCTTGTATTGAAACAGTTTTTACTGCCAGTATTTTATTGCTTTTTTTTTGTAAAATCATTTGAAGTCAACTAATCTAGAAACTTAATCACCGGATCACATACAGCAGGATGATGTGGCTCACATCTGCTGTGTGATGTTTGTAGCACAAGTTGCAGSAACAATTTTGCAATAAAACCACACAGACGGATAAAAAAAAACTGTTGCACAATGCTCATATCAAAGATTTACCCTGAAATGGCAAACGGTGTCATCATTTTGTAGATCTCCATACAGTACCACTCAAACAACTTTCACAGGATGTCTCAGACTACAGAGAGATAGGGGGATGGTTATACTGGTCACGTGAACCAGTTTAGGAGTCTCGAAGGAAACGAGGGGGGTGTTGGGGGGCGAGAACAGCTCTGCCACAGAGATTTGCACAGTCAGAAACAAACAGCACTTGAGCCACTGCTGTTCTGTGTTTTGCTTTAGAGGGAAATGTTTCACAATGCTCTGAAAACTCAAGGTAGGCTTTATGTGCTTCCAATTCTGCTGCTATTCATTTCTTATGTGACTGTTCTAACAGCGGACCAACTTGTTTTGTTTCGTTTTTTTTAATGCTCTGCACATGGTCTGTTTTAAGGTTCATGTTGATATTATTTTAGCAATCCTGCAGCCAAGTTTTTCAACCTCATTTGTCACGTTCAGGCAATGGAATTGTGTGGCTAACTAGAGGAGGCTGTCAGGTCACCATCGAAACTTAAAGACATCRTGGTTTAACCACCCCCAGGACCAAGTCCTGACAGATAGGACTGTGATGCTTTTTGAGACCAAACAGTGTCTGACCTTGATAATATTGRTATTATTAGGAAGTGATGCTGCAGAGTGACTGGATGATTCAGTGACCTGTTGTCTCCAGAGATAAGCACAGTGTTGCTACTTATCTGAGATTGAATTGTCGCACTATAAACCTTTATTATTACATTAAAGCCCTAACGCTTGAACAGTGTGGTGGTTAAGTTAATGTGATTTCTCTTGACAGAGAGGTGGGGGAAATCAAAAACAGAGGGTCAAAGTCAGTCGTATCATTTTCCACTAGTGCCACTTAGTGTAGTGTCGGTACGGTTCGGTATGGTTCCAAGCAATTTCCATTAGGCCACATTCATGGAACCAGCCCTTTTTTTAGTACCTACTTCATTGTGGTTCCAAGTGGTCCCAGTTGACACCAAAATGCAATGTCAGAACACTGTTCATCACTGATTGGCCAGGGGGTGGAGTCATTGGTTGCATCTAAGCTGCCTTTACAAGAACAAATCGAGGAGCCTTTTTTTCAATTGTAGCAGTGATATTAGTTGTTTCCATCCAATTTTAGTTCAAATTTTTAGCATTTTTTTTTAAATTTCAGAACTTATTCAGCAAATGTGTTTCCATCTCTCATTTTGCACATTAACCTTTTAAAAAAAACACCTCCACCAATCACCCAAAACACACCCACTGGAACTGGACTGGAACGTCAATGGAAAAGCCCCCGAACTGACCCGTTCCAACACTGACCGTACCGACACTACACYAAGTGGCACTAGTGGAAAAGTTAATGTAAATGTGCTCGAGTTAGCTCAAGGTTATCTTGTTGTCCTTGACAGGTGTTACACATTATCAGAATGTAAAAGCTCCAGAATTAGACTTGTTACAGAGATAATCACAGAAACAAATGTGTATGTAGGCAACCTGGATGCCTGAAGCTTGTGTATGTAGACACCATCTTACCCCATCTTTGTGTGATTTGATGGGTTAAAGCTGACCCGCTTCTGTTATGCCTCTGAGCTGGGAAGTGAGGTAGTCACAGAGCTGAGTTCGTGAGTGTGAAGACACCGCTGAGTGTTTCACGTTAACAGTGTTGCTGTCAACCGCTGGTTCTGCAATGCCGTCTTCATTTATGTAAGCATACACCTCAGGATGTGTGTAACAATTTGTGGTCTATGGGGTGCAACAAAGTTATTCGTGTCAAATTGTGCATAAGTAGTTCATAATGCAAACATGCTACATGATTAAGAATAGCTGAAAAAAAACTTAGATTTTAGTGCAAATATGAAGCAACTTATGAATGATGAGTTTCTTTGATGTTGAATTTTGCCTGATAGACAAAAAATTACATTGTACAAAAAGAATAGAGGAAATCCTGTAAACGATGCTGTGACCCATTTGAGAATGTGCAGGTTTGCCAAGCATGCATGCTCCTTATCTACTTACACATTATACACAGAAATACTGCAAACTAATATTATTAGGTACAAAAAAACCCAGAAATTTAGAAGCATTTTTATGTTACAACTTTATTTCAAGTGCCAAACGTCAAGCGCACAAATGAAATCCAAGTTCAGTTATTTTGAACTACACTAACATGGACGGTTCTGCTTTCAGCTAAAACAGAAGATCCAGCAATGGAGAAAGCTGATGCATCTAAAACAAAAGGTACAAACAACAAGGGTTTTATTCACAATATTATGGCTCATTCAACCAGAAATAACTTTGCAACTAATGTGCTGATTTTACTTCACAGAAGACAAGCCAGAAGTTAAGGATTTGAGAAACCATCCTCCAGCCAAAGTCAAACTGCCACCCCTCAGGCCCGCTCCACCTCCTGTCAAAGAAAAGCCCAACAAAGTTGTACCAACGTGAGTGATACCAAAGAATCCTTATTCTCACTCATTACTAATCTCAGCCAAAAGCCACTAATGGGCTTTGCAGAAAGAATAGTTATTCATTTGCAAGTTTCCTTAAAAAAAGCCTTCAACAAAGGTCAGGAACACTTTTTTTTGTCTTTGGTCTGGCCCGAGAAACAAAGTCTTTGGGAGCTAAAGGTTTTAGTCGCCACCACCAGTCACCATGGAGCCCTTAAAGAAGAATGGCAGGGATGCATGACATTTGGTGGCTTGGTGGAAACTTTGAGATGAGTCAGATCAGAGCAAAACAGATGAGAGCAGCCCATTTCCTGTTTCCTGAACAAAATACACACAACAAGCACCACCCACTCCAAACCCATACACACACTGCTGAAAAAAAAAAAGGCTGTATTTAAGAAAGATTTTTAAAAATCGCTTTTCAGCAGTGGTGGGCACAGTTCACCTAAAGCACTAACAGGGGAACTAATTTCCTGATTAGTGCTTTAATTTTAAAATTTATTAGTGGATTAGCGCTTGATAAATTTATAGGCTGAATTTAGAAGCACTATGAGTTATTTAAATGTTATTGATCAATGTTAAGGTTAACAGCTGAGGGTGAAAGCTGTCACATTTTGTTCATACGTGTCACTTATCCACCAGGTGACATATTGACAGTATATGAACACAAATAAGGCTGTGGAATATTAGTGATAAGTCTTAAGAAAACAACATAGCAATATGTGACTCATGTTGTCTGTTGAAGAATGTTGACTGAGTTACTTTAGTGCTTTAGAATTAGCTTTTGCTAAATTTTCAGTGTGTTAGTGTTTTAGAATTAGGGGACCTAAATATTTGAGTTAGCGTTTTCAGGTTCAGGTTCAGATCTATTCATGTCCCAAAAGGGCAATTAATGTTACAACAAGTGCATAGTACTTATACTTTAGCTTCCACTAGCTTTAGGGCTAGTGGAACTAATTTTTAGATTAGTGCTGCCCACCACTGGCTTTCAGTTATACGTGTTACCAACTACCAATTTTCCCTTTTGAAAATGATACCTACAGACTGYACAGCTTTTACCTGTAACCCAAACTCCTTTACTGGACAATTTAAATCTCGTTTATTATTTTTACGTTCAGTGCAACAAAYGGAGATGCGGCGCCTGTTTCCCCCAAAAAGCCAGAGGAGGAGGAGGCCAATCAGTTTGATGGTGTGAATGTGGAAAGTGAAAAGCTGAATCATCCTACGGCGAACAGAGCCAAACCTCCACAGAGGAGACCTCCATCAGGTCAAAACGCAGCAACACAAGTGAGTTTCATGGCAGAGATTTATTTGGATTTATCACTTTCTAAATAACCACATTTCCCCAATGTGATACTGAAATGAAAACGTTTCATAATAGATTCAAGTGACTTCCTGTAAAACTGCATGAGTAGTGTTAATCATCATGTTTGCAGATGCAACTTATCACCACCACAAAATGACTACTACTCATTTCATTTGAATAAATGTTTGTTATGCTTCATACTTGTTCCTGTTTAATTTGCACAACAGAATACCTTTAAAAACTTGTAAATGTAAATAACCTTTTTCTATGTTATTTTCTATCTTTTACACAAAAATTATTATACAGCTTTTATTTTCTGGACCAATCATACACTAAGTTTTGTATTTTTAGTAATTGCAGTTAGTAATTTTTTTGTATTGTAAAGGAGAGGTTTGCACCTGCAGGAAAACTATGAAATCTGAGTAACAAGCATGAAGACAGTTTTGCTCCACATTTCGTGAACTGCTCACAGTTTTTCACCACACAGACAGAAACAAGTTGAATCCCGGTCTCTGGGGCGGTTTGAGTAATTCTTAGAAAAGGAAGAATTGATTCCCTGAAGTAACATTTGGCCGCAGGAGAAACAAATCTTGTTGTTGAAACAGAAAAGTATGAGAATGAAAGTTTACTTGTTTCTGTTTTGCAGGATCAGACTGAGACAAAACCAGAACCAGAACACAAAAAGCCCCAATCTGACAAACTACCAGTCTTGCCAAAGGTTTGTGATGTTTACTGATTTTATATTTTATATATTAAAAGTGTTTATAATAAATTATTTGAAAAAGTCACACCCATCAACAATTATACCCTTCAGATATAACAATAGTCTCTTTAAAACTTCAGCTCTTGCACTTTTTCCCTGCAGGATTCCTTCTTTCTGGCAGATGAACATGTGAATTTATATTTAACGTGGTTTGCAGAAAATACACCAGCCTTTTTCTCAACAACACCCTTTTTTCTTTCACCAAGATAATTGCTATACAAAGCTATAATTCTGCTTTAAAGTTGTGGCAGTAATAGATAAATAATTCATCGTTTTGAATTGGGAAASAAATAATACGCAAAACTGGGTAGTTTAAACACAAGTACTCATTTATAAGATTTATGTGATGATGCTACAAAAGCAAACATACTTGGGAGAGATGTAGACAGGAAACGACAGAAGTACTGAACCAAGGAGCAGTTCCTGTACAGTTCGAACCACCTAATTACATTTACAAATGACAAACAGAGGATATGCAAGCAAATTAAAGCAAACCTCTCCTTTCTGACAGAATGACTATTGTTTCAAATGAATAATAAACCCTCATACCTAAATCAGTTACATGTATTTACTGAGACTGTTTCTGTCTTATTCAAGGGCCTAGAAAACATCATGCCAATATTACCTCAGAAGCCTGACATTCCACACAAGATGTCAACTCGAGCGTCTCCTCCTAAGCCAATTTTGAAAAACAAAACGGAGAACAATACAGAAGAGCCGACTGTGGGAAGCCTACAGGCCGAGATCAAAGAGCTGAGGATGGCTCTGGAGCTGCTTCAGACGCGACACGAGTGAGTGCCGATGAGCTGCACTCACCCACTCCTCTTCTGACGCCAGTTTAACCCAGAGATCTGAGTTTAAAGATGAGCTAAGAAAACCTAAAGACACGCAACCAGCTGTTCAGCACAGTCACCATAAACTGGTCTAAACTGGTCAAACATACCTTTATTTCATAAAACTGCAATGTTTGGTTGATAAAACAGAGACAAACCAAACAAACTGTTTAAAATTAGCTAATCCGGCTAGTCATTAGCCTAGTCTGGATGAAGTCTTTTGCCCTTTTCTACACACTGCACGCTCCATGACTGATGTCACAGCTAATAAACTACCAACTGCTGCTAAGAACATCAATAAAAACTATCAGACTATCCCATTTGTTGATTAACAATGTTCTTGTGACAGGATCTGCCTGTATCTATAAACTTTTGGAGTAAAGGCTGGTTTGTACTTCAAATCAAGTTTTGCTCCCCATGCTGAGTGACAAAAAAATTGTGTAACTTCCGTTTGTTATGCCTCGGTGACAGCCAACATCTGCGTAGTCCTCCAGAACTCTGTCCTGCTGTCTTGTGTCTCGCAGCGTGTGATTGGTCAGAACTGGGTGGGCGTACAGTCTGTGAGCAGCACTCAGAGCAGCGTTTCTTTCAGTTTTGTACTATTTTCCTGAAAATGATCCGTTCTCTGAAACCAGTTGYTAAATGTGCAACTCTGCCGTTATCGTAGGCACAGTAACAGTAACTCCACTCCCAACACAACACTGCTACTTCATTAATTCCTGCTATCACCGTTGTTGKTTATATGTTTATCTTTGCTCTGGGCGCACAGAGGGAGAAAGTTTTTTTAAATCACTGATGATGAAGAAATTAATAAACTAATATTAAGTTCTTTTTTCTACTGAATTGATTAAAAAACAGAGGGAGAAAKTTCTAATAATTTATCTTCCTCCTGTTTATACTCGATCATAAAAATGACACAATCACCGATCCGCTGTATCACATATTGAAGGATAAACCATGCTTGATGAGAAACAAATTACATAAATTTATCTTTAGGACTAATGGATATATCTTAACTAATTCTATAATAAGGTTTTAGCTGTAATCTTGGTTTGTGGAGTTTAAATTAGCGGATGGATCCATGACTGGTCCAATATTTGATCCAAGAATAACAACAGCATCAAAGGAAGATACAAGTATTAAAACTATAAAAATTCAGCTACTGCACCTTTTAAATTCCCCATTATGCTCAGACCTTTGTAATCTGGGTGTACATTTCAAAACATAAAGAAAGTGACTAAGTTTTGAACGTGTCTTTTCTACAGGAAAATCAAGACTGTGCTTCTCCTTTAAAGTCAGGATGTCTAAATGGGGAAAAAGTCCAGCTATTTATTAGACTTGACAGGCACTGAACAGTGTAGTCAGCTCATTTCAACTTGCCTGGGTCCTCAACCTCCTCTCTTTGTCTTTTTTTTTTTCTGAAGACAAGACATGCAGGAAGTGAAAGAAGTACTGAGGGAGGAGAGAAACAAGCGAGTGGAGCTGCAGGTCAGTGAGGCATCACCAGAAACAACAACTAAAAATACAGAAGTTGTGGTTCTTTTATGATGACGGTTGAAAGCTAAACTGCTGAAAAATGTTTTCTTTTTACAGAAGGAAGTGTGCGGTCTGAAGACAAAGCAATAATCTCAACACAGACTCTGACTGAGCTGCTTGTCTGGCTCAGTGTGATGGAGGTGTTTGGACTGTAAACAAGATTGTGACACCAAGTTAAAAAAAAAAAAGGAGGGTACAGTAAATATACTCCAACTGACGACACACAAGGGGTGTGTGAAACTTTAACGTATTGCTGGACATTATAAAGCTCAGCCTGAAATGGACCAGCGAGACACTTTTAATCAAATGGACTTTAAAAGAAAATGCTGTTAAATTACATTTATGATGCTGGAGATTACAGGTAATGATCCTTTTATGGGGTTTACTTAAAAGAGAATTAATATTTTATACTTTCTTTCCACTGTGATATTAAGAATTTTTATTCAAAATTTTACTGTAGGCCATTTATAAAGCTTTGGAATTTGTAATATATGCAGCTGTTGTATATAAAACGTAAGATTGTGAATGTTAATAAAAATGCTGTTATTAAAAACTGCTGAGATTAATGTGTGTTTACATGTGGACCAGGGGCGGAGCCATGGGGTGGCCATGACCTCCATAGACAAATCTTTGGCCACCCTGCTGAACACACCCCTTACACAGTGAAACAACCTTTAGGGGTGTAATAATCCTCCTGAACAGTTGGTGGCAGTGTTTAGCAATTTGAAACATCACCAAGCTCTATCACTGAAAAGGACTAATGACAAGGAAGTGATGATTTTCTTTAAATACAGAACCTATGCCTGTAATCTGACTTATGGTGTCAACTTTTGGACTTATGGTGATAAATGTTTTTGTTTTTTGTCACCACAACAGTGTCACTTTATGTTATGAAGGCTGCATGATGCTGTGTGTTGACCAAAACAAAGTTCTGCAGAAACTTTCAAGTTAAAAAAATCATGTAATTTTCCTGGCCACCCCTGTGTGAGTAGTGGTCCCAGTCTGACCACCCCCTGAGAAAAACGTCTGGCTCCGCCACTGATGCTGACACAATGATTAGACAAGACTTCGTATCTAAATGCCTAACAAATACATATTGTTTGCTGTATTTTTTAGAAACTGGAATAAGATTTAAACCTTTTATTCACTAGAGGGCAGTGTTTCAGTTCTTATAAAGAAGGTTTCTTTTGAATGGAGAACTGGTAGAAGTAAAAAAAAAAAAAAACAAGAACATCAAAGTTTATTACTCACTACTCCTCAGTAGTGAGAGAAAAGGCTGTGATGGAGTTTAAGTATACCACTCCTGTTAAATAGCAGCTATGTAAAAATTTAAACATTAATCTGTGGTAAAAATGCACAAAAAGTTGGTCCCTTTGGTTGATTTAAAGGAAAAAAAGACATTTGTCATTCAGTCAAAAATCCAGAACCTTTTGGGTTTAAAAAAGCATGGAAATGAATAATAGAGATTTTTAAAAATCTGTTGTTAATTATAACCACATAGGCTTTTATAGATGCATTTTTAGCTCATTTTTAGACATAACCAACTTAAAGATTTAGTTTTGGTTTTCATGATTTATTTTTCCTGCTGGAGTGTGTGGCTTTGTGTTTCCAAAGGTAAAACTGCTGAGCACATGTGGACAACACCTGGAGCTTATCAGGCACTTCTAAAATGCCCACAAGGAACAAAGTATTTTTAAACCATATGTTGAATAATGTTCATTTTGAACACATGAAGTAAACAAGGACTCAGCTGCAAGAATTTGTAGAGAAAGTTATTAAATCTCTGCATTCCAACATAAAGATTAGACTTTTTCATGGATCACTTGGGCCAACTAGGACACCAATAAATCAAAAATAAACAGCTTTTCACATAATTTAGTTACCCTGAACAAATAAATATAATCCTATAGGTCCCAGAAGACAACTTATCACAAGTCAACTAACAGCATTTCATAATACTGGTTAATTCAAAACAACTGGAATGTCTCTGCAGGGGGTAGTAAAAACTGAGTGTTGATAAGTAACTTTTTTAGTGTTTAGAGGTTAAATATTTAGGAAAAAATATTAAAATTTGAAATTATAAACAATGAAAGAATTAAAATAGAGATGCCAGTTTGCAAGACGTTTCTGGCACCAAGATGGCGGAGCAAAAAAACAAATGTTGACACATGTCGCGGATGGAGGAAAATTTAGTCAATCCCCTGCTCTTAAAGGACTTTACTGATGTGCCAAGAATGTGTGTAAATCAACAAACCACTTGTGATAATTTCCAGCACAAACATGCTCACAGCGTGCGCAGTTCATTCGACTGCGTTGGCAACAGAACCTTATTTTTGTGGAACAAATTCATCACATGAGCGAAAAACTGGCCATCCAAGTTCTGACTTCATCGTTCCTTCAAACTCAGAACATCAGAGTTTTAGGAGTGAATGCAACACACCCCTCCCAAAACCACATAACAGAGGCTGACACAAGTCATTATGCAAAAACGAAGCGTGGGCAGTTAAGCTGCTAGACGCCGCCGAGTGTAGTGAGCATCCCCAGAAATGGTTCAAGTTTGGCTGCTAAAAGCACTTCTTATGAGAGAGCTCATTGTACAGAATGGATAGTTCATGCTTCAGTGACGAGAAGCAGACATGATGCACGCAAACACAGAGGTCAAACAACTGTGAGCAGCAGGGGAAAGCAGAAACTAACGAGGAAGTAGCAGCAAATTAGAAAAACGCAACAATAACTCCACTGAAATTAAAAGCTTTGTTACTCACTTTGTCAAAGGCTGAGTCATGTTTATATCTGCAGGATCCAACAACTACAGTATATCAATGAAAGAGTGGATTAGAGCAGGGGTTCTTAACCTTTTTGACCTCGGRGCCCAATTTGTTGAACATAAAGTGGCACAAGGCCCAGTCAGACATTACCAATGTATGGATCAAAATGATAATTATTCTAAATCTCGGTTTAATTTTTATTGTATTTACATCATAACTAACTATCATAAATAACATAACTAAATTAAATACACTTACAGTTTAAAAGTAAAACTCCTGTCAAATAATAAGACATAATTATGACAAACATTTTTATATTGTAACCTGCCCATAACAATATTTCAAATAAAAAAACTGTAAAAATAAATTTGATAAAGTACAAATGAAAATATAGCATTTTTAAACTTTTGCAACCAGAAGCTGCTCTTCATATTAGTGACAAACTTTGGTGTTTTTTGACAAGTTACTTTCATTTTTGCTTCTACTTTTCATTTAAAATAGGTTTCCATTCTCGGCAATTTTCTAAGGTTCTTCTTCTACATATTAAAAAGTTGTTAAACGTCTGAGTGGTGCACTACCGCTACTACTAGTGGTGAGAAAGTGTATTGCACCTTACTCAAAATCAATGCGGTCCTGCGGCCCTCTGCGACCCAAAGTCAAAAACTGTTGTTCTTTTGAGACCCTCAAGGTGGCAGCTGCGGCCCATAGATTAAGAATCTCTGGACTAGAAGACTAATTCAATTCATGGTGATCATATTCGGAAAAATCATCAGAATAAAGCAGGGTGTCAAGATAAACTTGAGTTCAAACACTGTAAGAATACAGTTCACAGAACAATGTATCCTTCTGAAAATTAAACGTGACACAGATCAACAGAAAACTAATGAGGCCTTCCTGGATTTGAAGCAAACTGAACCAGCTAGAGCATCAAAAAGTGGTTTTAAATGAAAAAAGCTGAGTTTTTGAGCCTTACCTTTCAAACCAAATCAGCAGTATTCAGAATCTGACGTGCAACTATCTGAAGTCAGGTTGCACACCAAAGCAATACCCAGAGAACACAAAAGTGTGCTGAATAACATCAACGTTCTGGTTCTGATGTGGCAAATAGAAGCACAGAAGAGAGAAAGCATTCCCAGAGAATTCGGGCAGACGTAAGCCATGCAGATCAGCAAGCAAACCTTCCCTGATAAGCTCGCTAAAGGAGTTTATACTAAACTTTAAGACAACTGATGTTAGAAGATCAACTAGTCAGAGGCAGCAGCAACTGTTTTTAAAAGACATTACACACACAAAATAAACGTCTGCTAAATTTCATGCATGCATGCATGCATGGATGGATGGATGGATGGATGGATGGATGGATGGATGGTCAAATTTGGCTAACCAAAGAACAGATTTGGTAGGTCTAAAACATTCAGAAAACCACAGCCTGCTCCTAATTGATTAATTAAAAACACCTGGATGAACCAGCAGCTCTCATGTTTAAAAACTCGACCAAACACAAACCAGCATCTTTAAAGAACAAAATTAAATCTACAAAAACCAAGCTTCATATTAAAACTATTGAATTAAACAGGTGTTAGGCCTACCTGAAGTTGTGATGAGGACACAGCAGGTGGTCTGAAAAAAAAATCAGATTTCTGGACATGTTTTGTTGACGTTCTGTGAACACCATCAGATGCTGGATGAACATCGTTCATCTCTGTCTGTAATCCAGTATTATAAGAAAGGATGCCTAAATGGCAGATTACTGTTGGAAATACCCCAAATGAAGGTGAAAGACGTCAACAGAAGCTCACAACTTGAACAGACCGCCATGACAGGTCAGGGTGCGCTTCACTTGTGTCACGGTCTGTGCGGATGTTTAGAAATGAAGCCACTCGACACCGATTGGCCACTAGCGGCGGCCATCTTGCTAGGTGCTACGTGCTAAGTTTTGTGTATCATGTCCTGAAATAACTTTATTTTACCCTATAAAGTGCATATTGCGAAAACAATAAATCGATATTATGTTGTTACGAGTCTATCTCTTTTACACATCCATGATCTGCTCCTCCAGTGCTGGCTATGACACGTGGCACCTTACAAGATGGCTGCAAACATTGTCATAATTATTGCCTTGATAACAGTATATTTTTATTTCAGTCATCCTTCCTTTCAGACCTGTAAAAACAACTGTCACTAATTAGTTTCCTGTACTGTTAATTCAAATTTTTATTATTTTGACATTTTAGTGTTCAGTAAAAGAAT